CATTTGGAATTTTTTTTTTTTTTTTAGCCATTCTGATAGCTGTGTAGTGATTTCTCATTGTGGTCTTAATTTGCATTACTACATCATTAATGGCTAGTGGGGAGCTCTGGTGGTATAGTGCCTGTGGCATTTGACTGCTAACCAGAAGGCTGGCGGTTCAAACCCACCAAGCCACTCCTCGGAAGGAAGGTTGGCAATCTTACTTACGTAGTGATACCACCTCAGAAACCCAAGGAGGGTCGCTATGAGTCAAATTCGACTGAACAGCAGTGAGTTTGGGTTTGTTTTTTTAATGGCTAATGATGTTGCACATGTTTTTGTTTGCTTAACTGCCATCTGTATATATTTCTCAGTGATATATATCATGTCTTTTGTCTATTTTAATTGACTTGTTTGATTTTTTTACTGTTCTGTTTTGAAAGTTCTTTATATATCCTAGATAATAGAGGTTCATCTGTTCAAGCGCTCAGCTGCTAACTGAAAGCTTAATGATTCAAACACACTAGTTGCTCTATGGGAGAAAGATGTGGCAGTTAGCTTCAGTAAAGATTACAACCTTGGAAACCCTACAGGGCATTTCTACCCTGTCTTATAAGGTAGCTATGAGTCAGAAGTGACTTGATGGCAATGGGTTTGGTTTAGTCTTTTGTTGGGTATGTGGTTTGCAAATATTTTCTTCGAGACTGTAGCTTATCTATTTTTTTTTTTTTTTAATCTCTTTAACGGTATTTCACAGGGCAAAAGTTACAATTTTATTGAAAGGCTATCTTCTCTCCATTGAATTGTTTTTTGTACCTTTGTAAAAAATTACTTAGGTATAGTTCTGGATACTCTATTCTGTTCCACTGATTGGTATGTTTATTTCTCTACTAAATACCACACATTCTTGAAGGCTTAGCCTCTGTCTCGTAGAACTGATAGAAACTAATAAATGAGGATTCTGAAGGTTCTGTAGTAAAAAACAGAGGATTAGTAAGGAAGGCTATGCCTTCTCATGAAGGAGAGCAGAGGACTTGCAGATTGGCAGTCTTGATGAATTTAATGAACAAGCGTAGTGAACCTAAGCAAAGAAAAAGCTATAGAATATAAAGTTGTGCTAAGAAAAGATGTAATACAATTTAAATTTTGAGAGCTAGATTAGTTCTGGAGATTATTCAAGAATGGTCACATAAGTGAGTTATTCAAGTAGGATAGAGGTTAGGATCATTGGAGCCAAGGGAAAAAATAAATTGTACTAGATAAAAGCATGTATTAGTCCATGTAAGTCTCACCACAGTTCTGGTAATCGTTGTAACCAACATTTATTAAGCCCTCAGTAAGGGCAAGTCATGTTCTCATGTACTCCTTAAACAACCCTGTGAGGTAGATACTACCCCTGTTTTGCAAAGGAAGAAAACAGGGTCAGAGAAGTTAAGTGATTTACCAAAGATTTCATAATTAAGTGGAGGAAATGAAATTTAAACCTAGCTGTGCTGATTCCAGAGGTCATGCTCCTTCTGATCATTCTACAATCAGGACAGCAAAAGTTGAGGTAGAAAGAGATGGTGGTACAGATATCAAAATACTCTATGATGGAGGGCAAATGAGGAGGTGAGGTGCCATGAATTACTTTAATATGCTCCTTCTAGCCATGGTCTTCTTACTTCTGAAAAATGACTGGATGGGTCTATGCAAATAAGGTGCCCGTGGCCCATAAAGGGGATTGGACAGCCTATTAATAACGCAAATAAGGTTCATGGAACTCTTGTAGGGGATTGGTCAGTTTTGCCAATCTACTCGTTTTTAAGGAGTCAATTCAAGAGGGGACTTTACAACATCAAAAAAGAAGAGCTAAGATTGGAGGACATCTTTTGGAAAGGGGACCCCTGTGCTGAGAACCTCTTAGACTAAGAAGCCAGAGAGAGACGGAGAGAGCTGTAACACTGGGGAAGGCATGAGATAGCAAGATGCAGCAGCAAGCACAGTAGATTGCAGCAGCAGAATCGGGAGACCAGCATAAGATGGTGGTAAGCTTCCTGGCAAACCAAGTGAGGTGGCTACAGTGGGCATGCTGACTCATGGAACAAGCAAGCCAGGTACATCCAGACAAGAGGCTTCTTGGTAGACTGAGGTGTCTCAGGGCTCTTGTTAGTTGCACTGAAAAGTTGTAACACTTGTCCAAGCAGGACAGAGACCAGGCCCAAGCACTAAGGGAGGCCAGGCTGAGAGCACAGGACCTAGGCTGAGAACAAGGGTCCAATGGCAACAGCCAAAGAGAAGCTGTCTTGATCAAAGAATTGTATCCTGTATCCTTCCAAGCTGACCTTGATCCTGAACTGTATGTTGTTACTTCTCTAATAAACCCCATAATCATGAGTATGGCCCATGAGTTCTGTGTAGCCAGTAGAAAAGTAGAAGAGTTCCATAGGAGGGACGGCTGGAGTCAGAATTGGTAAAGAAGTTGGAGAAAAAAGATGTATGTCTGACTTCTATCTCATAGGAATCAGCCTTGGGCTGGTGCTGGTTTTTATTCTCATCTTTCCTCCTTGTGAAATTAGAGGATCTCTGACACAACACCATTTTTATAGGATAAGAAAATGGTGGTAAGAACATGAAAAGAAGAATTTTTTTAGAGTAGTGAAAAATAAATGATCTGGAAAGGGCAATGATATGGGAGGAAATGGTGTGCTCTGTACCTTAAGGTTATAGGGAATGAGAAATCAGAAAGGCTAACTCCTCTTAGGCAGCCTTGACTAACTCACTTGGCAGATTTAAATGCTTTCTCTTTTACACTCTCAATGTCTTTGACACTGCTCCATTAAAGCAGTTATATTAATATATTATAACTATTTATTTATCCTGATAATAAATCAGAGCTCTTTGAGAAAAGGATATAATAATAGCAACAGTAAAAGTTATAGTAGAAAAAGTCATGGAAGTAAAAATAGAAGTAGTAGTAAAGACATCACCAGTTCTCAATAAATGTTAGATATATGCTGAGTACAATGCTAATGGCCATATGTGCATTATCTCATTCCATTCTCACAAGAATCTTATGAGATAGTGCCATTACTATTCAAAGTCACAAAGTGAGCAAGCACCAGACTCAGTATTTGGACCTCACTTTGTGTTACAGATTGAATTGTGTCCCCTAAAAAGCTATGTTGAAGTCCTAACCCTTATACCTGTAAATATGACTACGTTTGGAAATAGAGGGTTTCCTTTGTTATGTGTTAGGAGTTCTGGTGGCATAGTGTCTAAGGCATTTGACTGCTAACAGAAGGCTGTTGATTCAAATCCACCAGCCAGTCCTCAGAAAAAGATGGGGCAATCTACTTCAGTAATGATACCACCTCAGAAACCCAAGGAGGGGTCATTATGAGTCGAATTGACTTGACAGCAGTGAGTTTGGTTTTTTGTTTTGTTTTGTTATGTGAATGAAGTGAATCCTCATTAATGAGGTCATACCTGAGTATGGTAAAGCTAAACCTAATCCCTTCTGAATAGTCTTATAGAGAGAGCAGAACAGACAGAGCCACACAGATGGAAGATAAACACCATGCGTGAGTCTATCTACAAGCAGGAATACTAACTGGTAGCAGATACCAGAAACTAAGAGTAACGTCCATAAAAGGAATCAACACTGCCAAACCTTGATTTTGAGTTTTAGAACTGTGAATTTCTGTTCTTTAAAACCACCCACTTGAGGGTTTTTTTTTTTTTTTAATAGTGACAGCACTAGATAACTAAGATACATTATGTCCTTTACATTATGTCCTTTGCTTTATGTCCCTTTCATGGCCTTGTATTAATATCATGTGTGTTTTGTTCTGTTTTGGGGAAAAGGGGTATATAATTAAGGTTGTGTGTCAGCTTGGCTGGACCATGATTCTGAGTGGTTTAAGCAGTCGTGGTGTGGCTGTTTCCATGATGAGATCTGATGTACATGCTTTGAGTAGCCAATCAGTTGAAAGGGAGTTTCCTTGAGGATGTGGCCTGCTTCCTATATACATAGATATATATATGTACATATGTACGTACATATATGTGTGTGTGTGTTGACACAGCTCCATTAAAGCAGTTATATTAATCTATTTATTTATCCTGATAATATGTTGTTGTTACATGCCATCGAGTCGGACCTGACTCATAGTGACCCCTCCTTGGGCTGCCAAGGCAGTATCACTACAGAAGTAGATTGCCCAACCTTCCTTCCGAGGAGTGGCTGGTGGGCTTGAACCGCCAGCCTTCTGGTTAGCAGTCAAGTGCCTTAGGCACTACACGACCAGAGCTCCCACCTTGAAGGTGAGTCCACTTTACGTAAAGGAAAAGGTCGAAAAAAAATGGCTTAAAGAGGATGAAACCATAGGGATGTTTATTTACTTTGGAGCCAAGATTCCAAAGGATAGAAAAAAAGGGACTTAGAAGGAGGCTAACAGTGAAAGAAGTATAATCATCCCTTGGTATCTACAGGGGATTGATTCCAGGATTCTGTAGCTACCAAAATCTGTGAGAGTTCAAGCATTTTATATAAAATGGTGTAGTATTTGCATATAAGCTATGCAATCCTCCCATACACTTTAAATCACACTAGATTTTTACTTATAGTAAGTAATATAATGTAAATATTATATAAATAGCATATTACACTTCCCCTTGGACTGTGAGGAATTACATCAATTTTTTTTTTTTTTTTCTTTTCTAAATATTTTCAATCTGCAGTTGGTTAAATTTGTGGATGTGGAAATGGGATGTGGAGGGCTAACTGTATCTGGGAGGAAGGAGCACAGAAGTTTGAAACTGGTCAATTGCACAGAATGGTTAAGGCGAAGTAAGACACAGCAGGACTGACTGTTCTCAAGACTCAGGAGGGCTAACAGCTCAATTTTCCCTGCTTGGATAGGAACCGGGCTAAGATTCATACATATGTGTGTGTGTGAGTGTGTGTGTGTGTGTATATATATATAAAGATATATATACAATTTCATTTAATCTTCACCACAGCTTATCGGCTAACAGGAATGGGCGGGAACCTCAAACCAGGTACCACAGGGTCGACTCTACTCAGGGAAACCGCATGTGTGTCGGAGTAGATCTGTGCTCCACAGGGCTTTCAATGGCTGCGTTTTGAGATGTAGATTGCCAGGCCTTTCTGCCTCTGTGGACTTCAATCTCCAACCTTTCAGTTAGTGGCCAAGCACGTTAACTGTTCGTACCACCCAGGGACTTCTGGTAACAGTAATGTTGTTGTTGTTAGGTGCTATTGAGTCAATTCCAACTCACAATAACCCTATGTACAACAGAATGAAACACTGTCCAGTCCTACACCATCCTCACAATTGTTATTATGTATTAATTACTGTTACAGACACTGTGTCAATCCATAATGTTGCGGGCTTTTCCCTTTTTCACTGACCGTTTACTTTACTAAGCATGATGTCTTTCTCCAGGGATTGGTCCCTCCAGATAACATGCCCAAAGTACATGAGACAAAAAGTCTTGTCAACCTCACTCCTAAGGGGCATTCTTGCTGTCCTTCTCCCAAGATAGATTTGTTCATTCTTCTGGTAGTCTATGGTTTATTCAGTGTTCTTCACCAACAACATAATTCAAAGGCATCAATTCTTCTTTAGTCTTGAGCTCTCACTATAGTGCTCATTCAAGTACAGCAGCCATGATCGATAACTCTATAGAGTAGGAAGGGGATTTCTCTCTTTCTCTTCTAAGCAGTGAGTAGAAAAGAAACTCTTATGGAAGAGAGCTTTGAACTAAAATCTCTGTAGATGCTGAGTTCCACACTAATTCTTTCTCCTTGTTCCTTAATCCCTTCCCCCATCCACATTATTAAACTACTGGTTAAAACAAACCAAACTCATTGCCATCAAGTCAGTTCCAACTTACAGCAACCCTAGATGACAGTGTGGGACTGCCCTCATAGGGTTTCCAAGCCTGTGAATCTTTATGAAAGCAGATTGCCATATCTTTCTCCTGCAGAACAACTGGTGGAACCAACTGTCAACCTTTCAGTTAGCAGCACAGTTGTTAACCAGTGTACCACCTTTGTTAACCTACAGGCAGTAGAAATGTATAGGATTTCATGTGAAGTACATTAATATAGCATCTACACAAATGACAAGACCAAGCTCAAGGATTCTTAACTGAAACCTCTTAACAATACACCTTTCAAGCAGCAGGTACCACATCTGGCGCTAAATCAATGTGGACCGAACATAAGTCACCTGATGGAAGGACTTACTATTACAATACTGAAACAAAGCAGTCTACTTGGGAGAAACCTGATGATCTTAAAACACCTTCTGAGCAATTGTTATCTAAATGTCCCTGGAAGGAGTACAAATCTGACTCTGGAAAGCCTTACTATTATATTTCTCAAACAAAAGAATCCCATTGGGCCAAACCTAAAGAACTTGAGGATCTTGAAGGATACCAGAATACCACCGTTGCTGGAAGTCTTATTACAAAATCAAACCTGCATGCAATGATCAAAGCTGAAGAAAGCAGTAAGCAAGAAGAGTCCACTACTACATCAACAGCCCCAGTTCCTACAACAGAAATTCAGACTACAATGAGCACTATGGCTGCTGCAGAAGTAGCAGCTGCAGCCAATGCCAATGCTTCTACTTCTACTCCTAATACTGTCAGTGGAAGTGTACCGGTTGTTCCTGAGCCTGAAGTTACTTCCATTGTTGCTACTATTGTAGATAATGAAAATACAGTGACTATTTCAACTGAGGAACAAGCACAATTACTAGTAGTTCCCCTGTGTTCAAGAGCAAAGTGTTGAAGTATCCAGTAATACAGGAGATGAAACATCTAAGCAGGAAACTATAGCTGATTTCACTCCCAAAAAGGAAGAAGAAGAAAGTCAACCAGCAAAAAAAACATACACTTGGAATACAAAGGAAGAGGCAAAGCAAGCCTTTAAAGAATTATTGAAAGAAAAGCAAGTACCATCTAATGCTTCATGGAAGCAAGCTATGAAAATGATCATTTGATCCACGATACAGTGCTTTACCAAAGCCGAGTGAAAAAAACCAGGCCTTCAATGCTTACAAAGTCCAGACTGAGAAAGAAGAAAAAGAGGAAGCACAATCAAAATACAAAGAGGCTAAAGAATCCTTCCAGCGTTTTCTTGAAAATCATGAAGAAATGACTTCTACAACCAGATACAAAAAAGCAGAGCAAATGTTTGGAGAGATGGATGTCTGGAATGCAATATCGGAACGCGACTGTCTTGAAATCTATGAAGATGTTTTGTTCTTTCTTTCAAAAAAAGAAAAGGAACAAGCAAAGCAGTTGTGCAAGAGAAATTGGAAAGCCTTAAAAAATATCCTTGACAACATGGCTAATGTAACATACTCTACTACTTGGTCTGAAGCCCAGCAGTATCTGATGGATAATCCAACTTTTGCAGAAGATGAGGAGTTACAGAACATGGACAAAGAAGATGCATTAATTTGCTTTGAAGAACACATTCAAGCTTTAGAAAAGGAAGAAGAAGAAGAAAAGCAGAAGAGCTTGCTGAGAGAAAGGAGACGACAGTGTAAAAATAGGGAATCTTTTCAGATATTTTTAGATGAATTGTATGAACATGGACAGCTACATTCTATGTCATCTTGGATGGAATTATATCCAACGATTAGTTCTGACATTAGATTCACTAATATGCTTGTTCAGCCTTTTTTTCATTAGGATCAACTGCACTTGATCTTTTCAAGTTTTATGTTGAGGATCTTAAAGCACATTACCATGATGAGAAGAAGATAATAAAAGACATTCTAAAGGATAAAGGATTTGTAGTTGAAATAAATACTACTTTTGAAGACTTTATGGCAATAATCAGTTCAACTAAACGGTCAACCACGTTAGATGCTGGAAATATTAAACTGGCTTTCAATAGTTTACTAGAAAAGGCAGAAACCCGTGAACGTGAAAGAGAAAAAGCGGAGGCACAGAAGATGAAACGGAAAGAATCTGCCTGTGAGAGTATGTTGAAGCAAGCTGCTCCTCTAATAGAATTGGAAGCTGTATGGGAAGATATCCGGGAGAGATTTGTAAAAGAGCCAGCATTTGAGGACATAACTCTAGAATCTGAAAGAAAACGAGTATTTAAAGATTTTATGCATGTTCTTGAACATGAATGTCAGCATCATCATTCAAAGAACAAGAAACATTCTAAGAAATCTAAAAAACATCATAGGAAACGTTCCCGCTCTGGATCGGGGTCAGATTCAGATGATGACGATAGCCATTCAAAGAAAAAAAGACAGCGATCCGAATCCCATTCTGCTTCAGAGCATTCTTCTAGTGCTGAGTCTGAGAGAAGTTATAAGAAGTCAAAAAAACATAAGAAGAAAAGGAGACACAAATCTGACTCTCCAGAGTCAGATACTGAGCGAGAGAAGGACAAAAAGGACGAGGATCGGGAAAGTGAAAAGGACAGAACTAGGCAAAGAACAGAATCAAAACATAAATCACCTAAGACTGGAAAGGATTCTGATAATTGGGATACTTCTGGCAGTGAACTGAGTGAAGGAGAATTAGAAAAGTGCAGAAGGACCCTTTTGGAGCAATTGGATGATGATCAATAAACTATACCGAGTATAACAAAAAAAAAAATATATATATATATATACCTTTCAGAAGGAAACAGCCATTATAGCTTGTAAGACAGATTTTTATTATTAGAGATAAGTTTCTATTTTTAGACTGTGAGAAATAATTTTATACTAACACTTTAATAGTGGGTCTTGTATTTAATGGTCTAAATCTATGCTGTCCAATATGGTAGTCACTAGTCACGTGTGGCTATTTAAATTTAAATTAACCTTAAAAATTAAGTTCCTCATTTACACTAGCTACATTTTAAGTGATATAGGAGCCTGGTAGCATAGTGGCTAAAGCACTTGACTGCTAACCAGAAGGCTGGCGGTTCAAACCCACCAGCCACTCCTCGGAAGGAAGGTTGGGCAATCCTACTTCCGTAGTGATACTGCCTCGGAAACCCAAGGAGGGGTCGCTATGAGTCGGGGCCGACTCGACGGCACATAACAACAACAACAACAGGCACATTTTATGTGGCTACTAGTGGCTACCATAACAGACAATACAGATACATACATACGTGGCTACTGGTGGCTATCATAATAGACAGTACAGAAGGGTTTTATGACTACAAAAAGTTCTATTGGATAGCATTGGTCTAAATGGATTATCACTGAAATTTTGAATTAACTTTTGAAATGGTACACAACCTTCTACACTAAACATTTTCAATGTGAACCATAACTTTTTTTTTTTTTTTTTTTTACACAGACTTTAAGAAGCATATAACAAAAGAAGGTGGGAGGAATGGGCCAGTAGAAATATATGCCAAACTCCAGACCCTATATATTCTATAACAAAGTTTCATAGATCAAGATTGGGAAATGAAAATTAGGGTGAGATGTTAGGGTATTAAGAAGAAGCTATATGCAAGGTTACAACCAGGTCTGGTAGCAGCCATAAGTGAAGATGCCAAAAGACTAAGGCACTTGCATCAATGTAGAAAAAATGGACAGGTAGTTCCAGAGGATCTTCAATGCCTAGGATTATACATATATTTTGGTATTCTTGATTCTATCTATGCCAATGGTCCTTAAAGGGTTGTTTTCAAAGTATGATTTATTTTCCTGTGGGCAAGGGTGGGGAGAGTTCCTGAAACACATGCAACTACTATCATTGTATTTTTCACTGCCATCAACTTGCAGGAAAAATAAAAATCCAATTAATTTTACATAAGAATGTCCTATCATCATTTGAGTACGCTTTAAAAAAATACTCTGTGTGATGAAAGGCAAAGAAGGCATAAAGCCCTTCTGCCGCACACTAAAGGGTAACCATTGTCTCAAGGAAAGCACTGGTGAGATTGTATGAGATGAAAGCTGAACATGGAACACCATTTTTACCACAAAGAATGACCAAAGGATAAGCTATTGTTATTTAGATTTGGTTATTTCAGAGGTTTTTCTTGAAAATAAAACAGTTGAGTCTATAGATTCAATGAAAATAATAGTATTTGGGACTAATAATAAAACTCACACTTTTGCGCAAAAATTACAATTCTCCAAAACTTGTATCTTTCACCATGAAGCCTTTTGTGGTGATATTAATGAATGTAATATTTTCCAAATGAGCAATACTTGATTTAAGAATTTAGAGTGGATAAATGGTCTATTTAAAGTACAAGATAGACCAACTGCTTTAAATGTAATAGAGTACAAATATTCTTTGATATGGTTTCAGATTATATATTATAACTAACTTTTAAGACTCACTCTTAAAGTTTTGGTATAGTCTCAAAGGATATCCACAATGATATGAAAAGGCTATTAAAATACTACCTTTTCCAACTACATGTCAGCGTAAGGCTGTATTTTCACAAACTTCAACCAAAAAACATCTTTTCACAGACTGAATGCAGACGCAGGTATGAGAATCCAATTGTCATCTATTAAGCCAGACAGTAAAATGATTTAAAAAAATAAAAAACATTGCCACTCTTCTCTTTAATTTTTTGTTTGTTCTGGAAAAATATTTCATAAAAATATGTTGTCTTAAAACTATAAAAAGCTACTTCAAGAAACCATAAAAGACCTAAATAAATGGAAAAACATCCCATGCTCATGGATAGGAAGACTGAACATTGTGAA